GATGACAACATCGAGTCGATCAAAAAGCGCTTCAAGACCTTTGTCGACACTAGCATGCCAGTTGTCGACGAGTTCGAGAGCCAGGGACGCGTCGTCAAGATCAATGCTGTGCAGGAGCCTGACCAGGTGTACCGGGATGTGCAGGAGAAGATCAAGGCTCGGGGCATTGAGCCGATCAGCATCAAGTTCGTGCAGACTGCTTAGGAGTCGGTCTTTGCCTTCAGGCCACGTCCAAGCGCATGAGTTGCGGGTGGCACTCATCAGAACACTGTTCTCTCCAGATTAACACGCTGAGGTTGACACGTTGAGGCTGACACGTTGAGATCGATACGTTGAATAGCAAGATAACCACAACTTTGACATGTAACATCCTGTGCACCCCAAGTCCTTCCATCCTCTGCCCGCCGTCCTTCTGCCTGCGTACCAGCGAGTCGGCGCTGCTGTTCGTTCACAGCCTATCCGTGACTGCTTCGAAATATGTACAGCCACTCCTGACACAGTCGTGCTGGGGAGGTGGAGGCCAGCCAGCTTAGATGAGGCGCAGTACACAAAGCCTACCATGGCTCATCCTCCTTGCGCCTTTGTCTATTCCGTGAACTAACCATCAGGGCCGCAAAGCTGCTCCTCGTTTAATTGCGTACGTGTCTTCTTCGCGCCAGCTCAATCCCTATCAGCCGCCTCCTTCTTGCGCTGCTCGATGATCTTCTGCGCGCGCTCCCGACGCTCCTCACGCAGAGTGATGAAGACCCAGAACCACAGCGACAGCTCGATGAACCCCCAGCTGAACACGAAGCCGTTCTTCAGGTAACTGCTTGGGCTCTTCGAGTACGCAATGCCCCTGGCCCCAGCGAACATGCCGCCCTCCTTGAACAAGAACGTGTATCCGGTGAGTGCGAACAGGAAGACGAGACGAACGGGCGTCTGCGCGCCCCAGTACTCGTCGTACACCTCAATGGGGAGCGATGCGGCGGTGAGGTCGCTGATGCCGAGGAAGGCGAAGAGGACGGCGACGAAGGCGAGGGCTGCGGATGGGGCCGCGAAGTCTCGCGGCATAGGCTAACACTGTCAGCGAGATCTCGCGGGGAAGGAAGGATGAGCGTACGAGTTGCATGGATCCGCCCAGGACCATAATGACACTCTGGTCCGCGATGAGCTTCGGGTTTTTGACCAGGACCGCGGCCAGCGTCAGGTGGAACAGCGCCAAGCTGCGTATCATGGTGTTTGCCGATATGATCGCCATGTTTTCAGGTGCAAAAGCAGGAAGCAGTGCGTTGTAGGATTGTTTTTGTAGTAGGCGTGATCTCGTGAACTGTTCCGCAGGCACTGGTGTTCTAGGGGGACCTTACGTTTTGTAAACTCCAGCTAAACTCCACGCGCTAGCCTGATGACGAATGGTCCTTATCGACCATCATTTGTTTACCAACTTGAGCTTCCAACACCATTGAACCTTCACTACTTCGCCACTCTTTTGCTCGAATCAAAACATGGACATTGACTCCAAATCCCACGCAGAGCAGGCGCTGCCTCTCAGGCAGCAAGGCCAGATGCGTCCTCGTGGCTCCAACGGGCCGAATTACAGGCTACTTGGTGTAGTCCTCTTCTTCGCAGCTTCGTTTTGGGTCACTACCGTCAGACCTGCCTTCACGATCGGCGAGCATGGTTGCAAGCACAAGCTCAGTGTCGAGCAAAGGGCTGCTGAGATCCTGAAGAAGCACCCACTCATTGGTCAGTCTTGTTTACACCCCACCTTCTTTCACGGTATACTGACGCGTTGTTATGCAGACGGCCACAACGACTTGATGATCTTCATCCGTGGCAAATACCACAACCATATCTACGGCAACGACTTCCAGGAAAAGTTTGAGCACGGCGGGCTTCCACAGCACGTGGATATCCCGCGACTGGAGAAGGGTCTGCAAGGCGGCGCATTCTGGAGTGCCTTCTATGTTTGCCCCACTGGCGAGAACACCACAGACTTCTCGAGTGGAAGATACTCAACGAGTAAGTTATGCCTGCGTGTTTCCAGCTGACAAGATTCCTCCTCTTACGCAGACAACAAACAAAGATCCTCAGCGCAGCGCGACCGCAAGCGACCGAGTCTTCCATATTCCCTCGCTGGTTGTGCTGCACAAGAGCAATACCCCTCTTCTCTCAACCTCTCATGTGGCTGTGGCTTAGGTCAAGGCTGAAAAAAATGTGTAGTAGCATGGCTGCGGACCAGGCAGGGTCCGGTAAGAGTACATGGCTATGTGCTCTAGTGGTTTCTGGGGGTAGAGATGGTTAAGGAAGAGGAGACGTTGACGCGATTCCCTGCCGGAGCACTGCTTTGTAGTGATGGTGGTGGGTGCGTCAACTCGTACATCCCTTTCAATTGGGTCATGCAATTTTTTGTTGGCTCATTATTATTATTATTTTTGCGATTTTGTCATACGAATTTTCGTTGGCTCATACAATTTTTGCAGCATTAAGACAATGCTAACTACTGTAGTTGTCCAGGCTACGCTTGATCAGCTCGATCTATATAGGCGTCTTGGAGACAGCTATCCCAAGTACTTCAGTCCATCATTGAACAGCCGCGATGCGGCAAAAGCCTTTGAAGATGGGCGTCTTATCTCGCCTGCCGCCATCGAAGGCCTGCATCAGATCGGAAACTCAGTCGCCAACCTGCGTCTCTACCATCAACTTGGCGTCCGTTACGCGACGCTTACCTGGAACTGTCATAACAAATACGCCGACGCCGCTCTCGAAACGAAGTACAACTCTGATGCCAGGGTCGCGACTCCATACTGGAAGGGACTGAGCCCGGCAGGCCGCGACCTGGTCAAAGAGATGAACCGCCTCGGCATGCTTGTCGACCTCGCACACGTCAGTACCGACACCATGCGCGACGTGCTTGTCGGCAAGGGCGACGGGGACTGGAACGGCAGTCTCGCTCCACCCATCTTCAGCCACAGCTCCGCCTACGCCGTCTGCCCCCATCCCCGCAACGTACCCGACGACATCCTCCACCTTGTCAAACAGCGCAACTCGGTCGTCATGGTAAACTTCAACCCCGACTTCATCGCCTGCGTGCCGGGCAACTCGTCTACTGGGCTCCCCGAGAGCGTGCCTGCCAATGCCACCTTGAACCAGGTCATTCGACACATCAAGCATATCGGTGAGCTCATAGGGTACGACCACGTTGGTATTGGCACGGACTATGATGGCATCGAGTCAACGCCTGTAGGGCTGGAGGATGTTTCCAAATTCCCGGACTTGATCGCGGAGCTGCTTCGTCAGGGTGTCAGTGATAAGGATGCGGCTAAGATTGTGGGAGGCAATGTTTTGCGCGTGTGGAAGGAGGCAGATGCTGTTGCCAAGGAGTTGCAGAAGCACATGAAGCCGTTGGAGGATGATATTCAGAATCCGTGGTAGAGGCACCGGTGTAGCATTCCTTAATACCTCTATGTTGTATATAGTTTTAGCAATCAGAATACACCTCTATCCCACAAGAATCTGCGCGATGTCATCTGCAGCGGCCGTAATAGTGATTTCGAAGGTGCTCATGGCGATATGACTGCTTGCGACCAGCGCGGGGGGACGCGTCGCGCAGTGGTCCGCCATCTCGCCTGCCCACATATTCCGAGCGCCCACCTCTTCCGAGCTTGCTTCAGACTGTCGCAGGGGCCCCACACATTCGGCAGTTGCATTTACATGCAGTCTCCGCTGTTCAATCATGGGGGAATGTAATGCTGTACATGAATCGACTCGTGAAGTGGAGACACGTGGCGGTGGTGCACTCACTGGTCGCAGGGGATGCAGCATATGGAGCGCCCGTTACCGCCCACTGCGGTCTTTTCGTTCGCACACTCGATAAATACAATCAGCCTCACCGTCATGGGTATCGCTCAGAACTGATGTATCTTGAAGCGTCGGTGGTGGAGCTTCTGCAGCTGCAGCTATTGTATTGATGACTTCGAGTGTCACTAAACCTTTCATGAACTATGGATATTCTGGGCATCGACTAAAACAGGTATAAAGAGATATTACCGGCCTACAAGGGGCGGAAGGAAGGCAGCGGTGGCAGGCCGAATCACCCAAGCCCTCCAGAATCGTCACCTCCACCTGCGCAGTAGCGGACGCAAGTAGCTGCGAGCCAGCCACATCGCCACAGCCAAAAACCTCACCTTACAGGGTACTGCGACAGTTCTGCGTGCACCGAAGCCAAACCGTGCTCAGGCGGTATCGCCTTCGCTTGCTCCACGGGCCTTCACTTCTGAAGCGAAGTCCAGCACGCACAACCGAAACCTTCACTGGATTTCCAGCCACACTATTCATATACGCCAAGTTTGGTCCACCATTCATCAATCAGAACACCTGGACGCGTAGTTTAATGGTAAAACACTCTCATCAAGAAACCCGCTCTTCATAACCTCAGGCCTCGCCACCCCACTTTGGTTATGTTTGTAGTGTGGCATTGCACAATGCCAGGGCCTAATGAGAGAGCTCTACGTTCGAATCGTAGCGTGTCTATATCTTTTTTTTTTCGGCCTTTTTCTGCCGCGCTGTGTTCTCGCAGCGCCTAAGAGTCACGAGTGATTTTAGGCCAAGGTATCCTTGTGCTGTGTTTGCAGGTGCTTTTACTTTCTATGGTTACTTGTTGTCACTAATCTTGGGAACAACTGCTACTGCTATCTTTGATGCGAAAGTTACGGTAAGAGGTCCGGCGGCGCAATGCTAGCAATGTAACGCTCGCTAGGGAGAGGACATCTATGTCTTGTCTGTCACCAACTTGAAGGCGCCTTTGGCATGTGAGTGAGAGTGGATGCCGAAGGGAAATATCTCTTACTCGAGGCGGAGCAAAGCAACGTCTGCTAAAGAAAAGGCATCATTTGCTGTCTGTCACTGACTAGGAGCCCGAGAATGAAGGCCGGAGGGAAAACGTCATAGGTTGTGACAAGACTAACTTGTTGTCAGGTGGTTATATACACCAGATTGGGTACTATCTCCATCAAAACAAAGGACGCGTAGTTCAATGGTATAACGTCCGCCTCAAGCACCCCAATCTGTTGTGACGGATAAAACCGTCACGGCGATTCAACTCGCGAAGACGGATTGGGCTTGGAAGCGGAAGATGTGTGTTCGAATCACACCGCGTCCGTTTTTTCCTTCTTTTTGGTTCTATCACTGATTGTTTACCTTCTTCGTATGTGAAGGTGACGCCAGATAAGCCCAACCTAGACAGCAACACCGTCCTGCTCAGCACTGCCTGCGACATCCACACACACGCGGCTCGTCACAATGGACATGCTTGCCCTTCTATTACGCCAATTTGCGATCTTCATTGGCATAACCAAAGCAAACTCAAGATTTCTATACTCGTTTCGCGGCCTGAGCCCGCGTGCCGTATGCTGCAGCAGATGGACGAGAAGCCCGAGCCTGGAGTCGTCACTCATCTACTATATCTTCACCATCATCGCCACCACCCTCTTCCCACCCAAATCCCGACTCCTCAGCGCCCACGGCATCAACCCCGATACTTACGCCATTCTGAACTGCCACTACGCCTTCAAGTATTTCGAATGTCTTTTTCATCTTTGCATGCGGGCTTTCTACGAGAGCCTACAATTCTGGGCATGTGTCACACTCGCGAGTTGGCCTACCAGATCAGAAACGAGTACCCTTCTGCGCCGAAAGCGTCTCCCCAAGGTCCAACATACTCAAGTATCTACTCAAACTCGAACAAAGACCGAGAATGTTGTCTGAAGCATTCTATGTTCTTCACTCGTTCGAAAATCTCAAAAATATCGAAACAATGCCCACATGTCTGAGTCCTTAAACCTTAGGGCCAATACTTTTCCCGAAGTTACGGATCTATTTTGCCAACTGTTTCGCCAAGTTCCTGCCTGATGTCAGGGTCGGTGTCTTATATGGCGGAACATTTCTGGCCTCCTCGATGGTGTAAAGAACAGACCATATCTTGTCCCTTCAACCATTTCACTTTCCTTTATATTTCTCTTTTCATCTTTGACTATCGCTGCAAATCAAACGCTCTACAGAGCTGCAAAGCGTCAATTCTGCACAGCCTCTACCGTCCCATATCTTCCACATCGTCAAGATGGAAGCTAATCCTCAGCTTGCTGTCGTTCAAGTTGCGGTCATTACGACCAATCCGGAGCTAGAACCGTACCTCTTACGACTCTAGACGCAAAGGCGAGACAAAACACCCAACACTAAGCAGAGCTTGATAAGGACACGCACCCCAACATCATTGTCGGTACCTCAGCGTGCCGCCGACACACTGGTCGGCAGCCTTATGGTGGGGCTCAGAACGCGGCTGCCGGACATCCCTCGATCACATCACCGACACAGCAGCAGCAGATGCACTCGTACCAACAAACATCGCCGATTTTCCTATCGGTAGTAGCGACGGGCAGTGCGTACAAAGGGTAGGGACATAATCAACGCATGCTGATGACATTCAACACCCGTATCATCCTCAGCGAACGAGATACGCGCAGCAAGGTTATATGTCTCGTGTACTTCAAGCGTACTGTATGTCGCCAACACAGATTGCGGCCGCCTCAGCACCCCCTTCACCGCCGACACACTGGACGTCAGGCCAATCCTACAAGCTTGTTCTTATCAATTGCCATTACTTTCAGAGCAAGTTCAGGACGATGTGGGCGAGCTGAGCCTACATTTCGGAAAATGTGGACTAGCGCGTGGACGGCTGCCGATTTGGTCCAGTGGCTGGGGACCAAACCTCGCGCCAACCTCACTTGGAGCTGCCCGCGTTCAGATACCCCAGATTCCCCGCACCATGTTGACGAAGCGCCTGCGACCTTTCGCCCGGGATGTGGAGATGTCAAGTGCACTGATGTGGTCTCTGCTATGGTCTCCACATTAATGCTCTCGACTCCACTAGACGACTTGGACTTAATACCCTGTTGCTGCCTCGATCCCAGATACAGAGTCCAGCACTGTCACAACAAACATTATCGAAGATCCAGACGACTGTCGTTGTCTATGTCGTCGCGGGCCTCTTAGATTCGGACAACACACGACGTTTCAGGCTGTCCAAGGCCACCCTCAGCCACAACATGGACGACAAGCCTCACACCGATGTCGACTACGTCGAAGACTTCAAGAGCCCACACGAACATACTGAGGACACTCACGTCAAAGGCAATGCCTTCCTCGTACACGCTGATGGCGAAGTGCGCAAGATTCCTGTTCCCTCGAAGAGCCCTAATGATCCCTTGAACTTCAAAAGATGGGAGAAGATCGGCATCATCTTTTGCTGCTGTTGGTTCTCGATCATGGGCCTCTCAATGGCAGGTGGTTTGGGTACCATTCTTAATGTCTTCTTCGAGTTGTATGCGCCGCAGGGGAAGCAATCGCAAGACATTGTGTTCTTGATCACCATGCCCTCGCTGTGTATTGGACTGGGTGAGTCGCTCAACAGACGCCTATACAGTTACATCCGCTAACCAGCCACAGGCAACTATATCCTCCTGCCAATTGCATTGGCGTATGGCCGTCGCCCCGTGTTTCTCGTCTCTATGGTCGTCTTGCTCGCATCTACTGTCCTCGCTGCTGTACAGGACTCTTACGACGCACACCTTGCTGCGCGTATCGTCCAGGGTCTCTCGACTGGCGCCTCTGAGTCGCTCCTGCCGCTCATGCTTACGGAGATTACCTTCCTACACCAGCGCGGACGTGTCTTCGGCCTTTACTGGACAGTCCAGAACATCCTCAGCTCGACTATCAACCTCTCTTCCTCATACATCAACCAAGACCTCGGATGGCGGTGGTACTACTGGGTGTTCGTCATCACAATCACGGTTGGCCTCGTCGTTGCCTTCTTCTTCGGCTTCGAAACCCAGTTCACAAGATCGGCAGCAAGCGTGGACGGGCAACTGATCTTCACCGACGAATACGGCGTTACCAACATAATCCCTGACGATGAAGCTCAGGAGTACTTTGCTCGCATAGCCCGTGAGGGTATGACATTGCCGTCAACTAACGATGGTAGTGACGACATCAGAAAGACTTATCTGCAGAAGATTCGTCCATGGTCTGACGTACAGGACAGACCCGTTCGCATCATGCTTTTGACCTACCTGCACATGTTCCAAAGTCTCACCTCTCCCGGTATCATCTACGCCATCCTCACATCTTCGGTCACCCTCGGTTGCAGCATCGGCATGTCTTTGACCTACAACCATGTCCTTATGGACAACTACCACTGGGAACCCAAGAATATCGGTCTCATCAACGTCGGCGGTGTCATTGGCAGTCTTCTCGGCATGCTTTATTGCACGTTCCTCGGCGATCCCTTCGTTCTCTTCCTCGCCCGCCGCAACAAGGGCGTCCACAAGCCTGAGCACCAGCTTCTTACTCTGACCATCCCCGCCATCATCGGTGTCGCGATACTTCTTCTTTACGGGTATACTGCTGGAGGTGGCGCGACTTGGTGGGGACCATATCTTGGTTGGACAATCTTCCAGTACACTTTTACTGCGGTCCTCATTGTCTCAACGACTTTCGCCTCCGAGGCTACGACTCAATACCCTGGTCCTGCGTTGGTGGTTGTGGTAGGCACGAAAAACATTGTCTCTTTTGGTGTCTCATATGGGTTGACACCTATGGTGGACAAGCACGGATTCCCATGGGCTTTCGGTGTTCTCGCCGGTATCTTCAGTGCCATCTTCCTGCTGGGCATTCCCGTGTACTATTTGAACCCCAGATGGCGCGCCAAACAGAGTAGCAAGTAGAGAGTACAGATAGTCTACCACCTTATGAACAGATTTCGACTTTTGTATATGCAGACGCTAGCGTCCATGACCAAATTTTGGTGCAATGATGAAGTGCTATTTGTTCGTTCCAATAATTGTCTCTGTTGCTCAGGATATCCAAGTACTCGTGCTTATCAGCAGTGTAGCTGAAGGTTCTGCCAACCTGTTCCTTTCAAGTGGAGTGCGAGTGTAGGCCCGAGATAGACAGCAACGGCGGTAGGAAGCTCCAAGGAAAGGTGGCAATACGAAGTCATAGCAATCTTCACGCGCCCGCCCAGACCAGGCTCACAATGCAGTATCGAAATATATCGGCGAAGGAATGATGGAGGGTATGACTTCAATTCAGTATGTCTTGAACTCCCCACTACAGCTAGTTAAAACCACGGAACCAAAGACATGTAAAGCCTTCAAAGCTGGGTTGCTTGTAGCAAGACTGTTTCTGCCTCGAAGCGCTCCTCAATCGACTTGAGAACAAACTCATCATCAGGGCTGCTGATGAAGGAGATACTGAGACCCTTGGTTCCGAAACGTCCAGCACAACCGACACGGCGAAGGTAAGAATCAGCCCCAGCTTTGTCGGCCATGTCGTAGTTGATGGCGACGTTGATACGCTCAACAGCAATGCCACGACCAAAGATGTCAGTAGACACACAGATACGGGTCTCTCAGTCTTTGAACTCTTTGTAGCGCTTGATGCTGTATCATTGTTAGCATAAGAAGATACGACAAAACGCCAGTGTACATACTGTTCGTTCCAAATCCCTCACCATGTACTCTACCAGCCAGAGCCTACGGCCCACCGCACCAGCATCCGGCCTCCTACTCAACAGGCCCAGTGAACGCCCACCTCGCCGCCGACCAAGTCGCCCACGCCTGCTCGCGACCCCAGAACTCGAAAAGATCCTCAGTGCTACTCGCGAATCTCATAGCCGTCTTCTGCTTCTCGATGAACTCGTCCCAGCTCTGACGCGAAGCCCCAGTTCCCCTCACGCCTCCCTCACCCACCTTGTTCCTGATCATTTTGTGCTTTGTCCTGCCGGGGAAGAAGTGGTACGCGCGTGGATTGAACTGAAACAGCTCGGGGATGATGTGGTGGGCAAAGACCTCCGGCCAGTGCAGGTAGCTCATCAAGTGGAGGTGCTGGAGGTTTGGAGCGTAGTCGAAGCGGTGTGTGCCGTCACTGTTGGGCACGACGTTCATGGGCTTCTAGAGCCACTCTGGTCTGACGTACGGAATGACAGTCAGATTCTGTAGGCGTTGGTCGGAGGGAAGCTGGTGGGTGCCGAGAGCCTCATGGAATGGCACAGTCTCTTGCTTGACGTCATCCGTAATGGGCTCGGGCTCGGGCTCGGTCTTGCTT